CATCTGTAAAACAGAGACAGCACTCCAGAACCACGTTCATGCTAAGATCTGTGTTTTACTGAATAGGAAATTCCCAACCATGCTTTCAAAACATTTGAAGCTGTGGTGAACTGAGTCACATACTGTAACAAATTACAGACTGAGCTTAACTGCAGAGCATATAATGCAATACTGTAAAACTCCCAGAAGATAACAGGAGAAAATCTGGATGACTTGGGTATTGTGATGCATTTTTACATGCAACACCTAAGACATGATCTGTGAAAGAAATAACTGATAAGCTGTTCTTCATTAACATTAAAAACTTCTGCTCTGTGGAGGACAATGTCAAGAGAAAGAAGAAAAGCCAGAAACTGGAAGAAAATATTTGCAAAAGACAAATCTGCTAAAGGACAATGATCCAAAATAACACAGAGAACTCTTAAAACTCAATAATGAAAAATGATTTAAAAATGGGCCAAAGACTGTCTTAACAGGCACCTCACCAAAGAAGATACACAGATGGCAAATAAAATGTGAAAAGATACCCCACATCATATGTCACCAGGGAAATGCAAATTAAAACAGTGAGATTCCATTACATACCTATTAGAAGGACCAGAATCTGTGACACTGACAACACCAAGTTCTGAAGAAGAAGAGATGGAACAGGAATGAACTCTCACACATTGCTGCTGGAAATTATGATGCAGCATATTTGATTTTTTTTAAACAATACTAAGCATGTTCTTACGGTCCAGCAGTTGCACTCCTTGGTATTTACCCAAGGGAATTAAAAATATATATCCATACAAAAGTCTGTACACAGATGTGTATTGCCGCTGGGTTCATAATTGCCAAAACTTGGAAACAATCAAGATATCCTTAAGTAGATGAATGGATAAACTGATACATCCAGACAGTGGAATATTATTCTGCACTAAAAAGAAATGAGCTATCAAGCCTTAAAAAACATGGAGTAACCTTGAAAAACATATTAAGTGAAAGCAATCAATCTGAAAAAGCTACATACTGTATGATTCCAGCTCTATGACATTCTTGAAAAGGCAAAACTATGGAGATAGTAGAAAGATCAGTGGTGGCCAGGGATGAGCTGAAATGAATAGACAGAGCACAGAGGTTTTTTAGGGCAATGAAAATACTTGGTATGATTCCATAATGGTGGATACATGTCATCATTTATTTGTCCAAACCCATAGAATGTACAATGCCAAGAGTGAACCCTAATGGAAACTGTGAACTTAAGGTGGTGATGATGTGTCAAAGTCAATTCATCTGTTGCAACAAATGTACCACTTCAGTAATGGATGTTGATAATAGAGGAGGCTCTGCATGTGTGGGAGCAGTTAGTATACAGGAAATCTCTGTACCTTCCTCTCGATTTTGTTGTAAACCTAATACTGCTCTAAAACAATTAAGTGTTTAAAAAAGGAGTTTTTAAAAAGTTAGGACGATTTCCCTTCACCCCAATTTATACCAGATAGTTCTCCTGTTAACTTTCGTGTTGGTGAGAGAGGAAGGTGGGCATCTCTGGATCCCTCTCCTTTCACCAAGAACTGTCACTATCTGCAATATAGTTGCATTAAGTGTATTCGTATCCTCAGCATCATGATGTTGTTATGTTTAAAAATATATGATTTGTAGCTTATCCAGCATATTTGATTGTTAGAGTGTGAATTTTTTTCTTTTTTTAATATATATTTTTATTGAGGTATAGTAAGTTTACAATGTTGTGTCAATTTCTGGTGTACAGCACAATACTTCAGTCATATAGGAACATGCATATATTCATTTTCACCATAAGTTACCACAATATATTGAATATAGTTCCCTCTGCTTTACAGTATAAACTCGTTGTTTATCTGTTTTATATATATTAGTTAGTATCTGCAAATCTCGAACTCCCAATTTATCCCTTCTCACCCCTTCCCCCTCTGGTAACCATAAGTTTATATTCTATATCTGTGAGTCTGTTTCTGTTTTGTAAATAAGTTCCTTGGTCTTTTTTTTTTTTAAGATTCCATATAAGTGATATAATATTGTATTTTTTTTTCTCTTTCTGACTTACTTCACTTAGAATGACAATCTCCAGGTCCATCTATGTTGCTGTAAATGGCATTATTTTATTATTTTTTATGGATGAATAGAATTCCATTGTATAAATATACCACAACTTCTTTATCCAGTCATCTGTCATTGGACATTTAGGTTCTTTCCATGTCTTGACTATTGTAAATGGTGTTACTATGAACATTGGGGTGCATGTATCTTTTTGAATTAAGGTTCCCTCTGGATAGATGTCCAGGATTGGGATTGCAGGATCATGTGGTAAGTCTATTTTCAGTCTTTTGATAAATCTCCATACTGTTTTCATAATGGTTGCACCAAACTATATTCCCACTAACAGTGTTAGGAGAGTTCCCTTTTCTCCACAGCCTCTCCAGCATTTATCATTTGTGGACTTTTGAACGATGGCCATTCTTACTGGTATGAGATGATAACCTCATTGTAGTTTCTGTTTGCATTTCTCTGATAATTAGCGATATTGAGCATTTTTTCATGTGTCTATTGGCCATTTGTATGTCTTCATTGGGAATTGCTTGTTTAGATCTTTGGCCCATTTTTGGATTGGGTTGTTTGTTTTTTTGTTATTAAGTTGTATGAGCTGTTTATATATTCTGGAAATCAAGCCCTTGTCAGTCTCATCTTTTGCAAATATTTTCTCCCATTCCATAGGTTGTGTTTTTGTTTTGCGTATAGTTTCCTTTGCTGTGCAAAAGGGTGTGAATTTTTTTGGTAACTTTTTATATCCACACCAGATAATTATATATAAACCCATGAAAACGCAATGAAGTATTTTATACCTACCCACAGATACACAGTTTCTCTTGCTTTTCATCCACCTAAACAGATTTAGGATTCCATCTGATATAATTTTCCTTCAACCTGAAGAGAATATCCTTTATACCTTATAATAGTGCAGTTCTTCTGGTAATGAAACTTTCAGTTTGTTTCTCTGAAAATGTTTTTATTTTACTTTCATCTTTTATGAATATATAAATATTCCCCACCCCTTTTGGCAGGCTTTTCTCTTTCTTGCAGGACTATAAAGATATTTTTAATTGTCTTCCATTTTGCTTTATTTCCAAGATAAGCCAGAGAGGAGTCAGATGTTATTTTTGTTTTTATTTTGTTCACTGTATCTTCTTGTAATGTGTCTAATTTCTGTGACTGCTCTTAAGATTATGTTTTCCTTTTTCTTTGTTACCTGCAATTTGATTATGATGTGTCTTGGTAGGTTTTTCTTGTTTTGAGTTTGGATTTACGGATTGTTGTTTTTCTATCACCAATTTGAAAAATTTGCCTTTATTTCCTCAGATATATTCCTGTCTTTCAGCCTTTCTCTGACATGCCAATTATGTGTATGTTTGACTTTGGAATATTTTTCCACAGTCACTGAGTTTTTGCTCACTTTTTCTCCCCATCCTTTTCTTACCAGTGTTTCAGTGTGGTTATTATCTATTGCCCTGTCTCTGTGTACAGGGATGCCTGGAATTCCTTCTGATACCTCTTTCCTACCTGGTACTTTGCTCCATAAATTCAAGCCACCTGAGAATCCTGGCATGCCAGTTTCCGTCCTCTTCAACTGAATAAAACTGTCCATGCTTTGCCATGTTTTCCCTCCTTGTGCTGAGGTTTGTGAAGTGTCTCCTGGGTTCAATGATAGGGTTCATTTTTTTAAAATTCACTTTTCTCAAGGATCACAGTTCTCCACTTCATCTTTTCCAATGTCTGAAAACTGTAGTTTTATATATTTTTGTTCAGTTTTTTTGTTTTTGTTTTTGTTTGCTTATTGTGGAAAGGTTAATTTAGTATTATTCTGTCATGAACAGAAGAATAAGACTGTTTTATTTGTTGAGAATGACAGTTCTTATTCATTGTACCCACATTTAATGTGACATAAAATAGGCATAAAATAAATCAAAACTGTAAGAATAGATTTTATTTAGAACACTAGGTGCATCATTTCTAGAATAATTCCATAGTTCATATTTTCATCAATTAAAAATTGAATGATTTTCTCCAGCTGTTTTCCCTCTTTGTGTTTAAAACTGCATGTCATTATTGAGGATTTTAATCATTAAGCATTTTTTTTATTTTATTTTTTGTATATATGTATTTTTATTGACTAGTCAGTTTACAATATTGTATCAGTATTTTTATTTTTGATGATTAGTTTCAAGAGCAAATACTTAAGAGCAAGATGGAAAATGAAACTGTCAAGTTTTTAAAAATTAAATTTGGATAAATATAAGTGCATTAAGATTTTAAGAAGAGGAAAGTGGAATGTGACATCTTCTGGGACTCACTGTCAAGTATTTTGATTACTGCTTTCCACAAATTATCTTTAAAACTCCACATTATATCAAATAAAATATTCTAATATTTTAGAGCTCAGAGCATTTGTGAAAAATTTTCAGGGTTTTTTTTTTGAGAACAAGATTGTATATTTGCAGTTGAGATGTGAAAGTTGTATTATTTTCAGGATAGTTTGTAAAGATGAATAAAATTTGATTAACAACAAATTACTTTCAAATCCTTGCCACAAGGTTAACAGTAACAAGTATTGTCACTTATTGTTTCTGCTCAGACTAGTAAATTGACATACCTGCAAAGCCTTAAATAAAAGCTTTTGAATTTACAAGGTGTCTTTTGGAGTTTAGGGGAAGTTTTCCTGAACTCCCACCCTCCAATCTGGGCTGAATATCTCCTTTTCCTGCACCTATGGATTTTAAATCCCATGAGGTCGTGAATGGTATATTTTTTATCCTAGCATCCATTATAGCCGCCCATACAAAGGTGATGTTTTATACTTGGCTCAGTAAACACATGAATCAATTATTTCCATATTCTAATTTGCATAAAAAGATTATTTTAGGAGGAATATGAACATTACTCAAATGATTGGATGCTAATACTCTATTTTGTGTCTTTTACAGGCTCTTAAATCTGATCTACAATGGAAAAATTTCTTTTTTATCTGTTTTTCATTGGCATAGCAGTGAAAGCTCAGATCTGTCCAAAGCGTTGTGTCTGTCAGATTCTGTCTCCTAATCTTGCAACCCTTTGTGCCAAGAAAGGGCTTTTATTTGTTCCACCAAACATTGACAGAAGAACTGTGGAACTGCGTTTGGCAGACAATTTTGTTACAAACATTAAAAGGAAAGATTTTGCCAATATGACCAGCCTGGTGGACCTGACTCTATCCAGGAATACAATAAGTTTTATTACACCTCATGCTTTTGCTGACTTACGGAATTTGAGGGCATTGCATTTGAATAGCAACAGATTGACTAAAATTACAAATGATATGTTCAGCGGGCTTTCCAATCTCCATCATTTGATATTGAACAACAATCAGCTGACTCTCATTTCTTCTACAGCATTTGATGATGTCTTTGCCCTTGAGGAGCTGGATCTGTCCTATAATAATTTAGAAACAATTCCTTGGGATGCTGTTGAGAAGATGGTTAGCTTGCACACCCTTAGTTTGGACCACAATATGATTGATAACATCCCTAAGGGGACTTTCTCGCACTTACACAAGATGACTCGGCTAGATGTAACATCAAATAAATTGCAGAAACTACCACCTGACCCTCTCTTTCAGCGAGCTCAGGTACTCGCAACCTCAGGAATCATAAGCCCATCAACTTTTGCATTGAGTTTTGGTGGAAACCCTTTGCATTGCAATTGTGAATTGTTGTGGTTGAGGCGTCTGTCCAGAGAGGATGACCTGGAGACCTGTGCTTCTCCAGCACTTTTAACTGGCCGCTATTTCTGGTCCATTCCTGAGGAAGAGTTTTTGTGTGAGCCTCCTCTCATTACTCGGCATACACATGAGATGAGAGTCCTGGAGGGTCAGAGGGCAACCCTGAGGTGCAAAGCCAGGGGAGACCCTGAACCTGCAATTCACTGGATTTCTCCTGAAGGGAAGCTTATTTCAAACGCAACAAGATCTCTGGTGTATGATAATGGAACACTTGACATTCTTATAACAACTGTAAAGGATACAGGTGCTTTTACCTGCATTGCTTCCAATCCTGCTGGGGAAGCAACTCAAACAGTGGATCTGCATATAATTAAGCTCCCTCACTTACTAAACAGTACGAACCATATCCATGAGCCTGATCCTGGTTCTTCAGATATCTCAACTTCTACGAAGTCAGGTTCTAATGCAAGCAGCAGTAATGGTGATACTAAGATGAGTCAAGATAAAATTGTGGTGACAGAAGCAACGTCGTCTACAGCACTACTTAAATTTAATTTTCAAAGAAACATCCCTGGAATACGAATGTTTCAGATCCAGTACAATGGTACTTATGATGACACCCTTGTTTACAGGTAAGAAAAATGAAGCCCATTTTAGCCTTGCCCTGCATCTTAGTGTAGGGCTTGATAATGTACTGCCAATTTTTTTTTTTAACTGACAGTGCTCCTCTGTGTTGTAATGAAAGTATTCCATTTTTTAAAGTATCTGATGTAAGGCTTGTGAAAGGTGAATACATGTGGAGAAATATTTTGAATGGTGTTATTTTCAGAGCATTCAAATTTATATTTAATATTATGCTTACTTACTTTTTTCCCCCCTCATCTAAGAGATGTGACTATCAAAGAACAAGATTGATTAACTTTAAAAATTCAAAAACATACCAGAACTTACACATCCACATGAGTGTTCTTTCCTTCAAGGAAGTCACGTTGGGAGGCTATCCCATTATCCCAGTGATGCTGCCATTGCTCAAAGCACTTTTGGAATTATCTTTAGAACCTTCGTCATACTATTTTGAATATCCTCAGTGGTGGCAAATCTTCGTCTTTTGAGGGTGAATTTGAATTTTGGAAACAAGCAAAAGCCATTTGGAGCCAAGTCTTGTGAATAAGGTGGGTGATCAAGATGGGTATTGCCATTTTTGGTCAAAAATAGGAATGTAACTATAAAATAATGAGACTGTTTTTTTTTTTTTTTGAGTGGTTGAGTTATGTGTGTGCATGTGTGTTGTCTCATATACACTGGTTCTTAAGACAGTTCCAAAGAGAAAGTTTTTAAGTATTTTGAGCAGTGAAAGTATCACTGGAGTGTGAAGTATGTAATCTCGGGGTAAGGATATTGGTGGAGAATTTGCATATGACTAAAGAATTTCTGGTATGTTTTTCTGAAGTTCAGCCTCATTGATTTATAGTCACATCTTGTCCAATTTGCAGTTAGAAATATACATTTTTACCTCTCCATGTAATTTCACTCATGATAGATTATTATTACTCCTAGGAAATGATGCAAAATCATGGCTTTGAAATAAATATATATATATTCATCTTTGAGCTTTTCTGAAAGAAGATCAGATCTGTTCTTATATATGAATTCTTGAAGATAATTTGGTTTTCACTCATGTGTGGAAATGAGGAATTAGAGTAAAGTTTTTTAAATTGAGCATGTGCTGGTAGGGAAATAAAAGCAAAACTGACCTAGCTAGACGTGTGATCTGTCCTGGGCAGGGTTCTAATTTTCTCATCTTTAAAAGGGAGAGATTAGGGTAAATGGTTTCTAATATCCCTCTCATCACTAAATGTTATGAAGCTGTAGACACGATGCATGTCTATCAGCATCAAGCAGTTGCTCTTGTCATCCTCAGCTTTTCACATAGGTTGTGGATAATTTAACCCATTGTCGAGGATTAGCATCCACCCCACCCCATATTTTCCTGTAGCTACTAGACATTCCATGTATTTTAAACATTAGCTCTGTGAAATAGGTCCATTTCTATTTTCCAAATTCCAAGATTTTAATGCCACCACGACAAATACATTCTCTATTACCCTGAGGAAATTCCTTGAGCCCGTGACCGTAATGTTTTTTATGTGTAAAAGAGTGGTGATGCCTACCTCATGCAGTCCTGGTAAAAATGGAAAAAAAACTCCTGGCGTTTTCCTTGCACATGCTAAATGGTAGTGACTTCAACCACAAATGCATAGTCTGGCCTCAAAGTTTCTTGGTTCATTTAGAACACATTGTTTAGGCTGTATAACAGATTAGCATTGCCAAGTCTTGAGATTTCTAAAACTCAAGAGATAAAGTGTAGTTTCAAGCCTTTTTTTTTCCCTAAATTAAATCTTAATTTAGGTGATGTATGGTTGTTACTTAGAACAAAAAAAAAGTTACTAGAGAAAAGGTATCCACAGAAGACTTTTGTGATGTGATGGATTCAGAGATGTCTTTAAATTCTTCTCAGAGTTTACAAAATTATGTTCTGAAAGTAATTTTATCAGCCCACAGTGGGGAGGACAAGGGATTTATGCTCTGGTCAACAGCTTTGCCCAGTTCCTGTTTCTAGGATAATATTGCTCATACATTTCATCAGCCTCATTTATAGATAAAAAAAAATACTGGGAACCAAGTGTTGAAGACATAAGAGAGGCTGAGATCTGTAAATAAAGTCCTTTAGTCTTTGTAATTATCTTAGTTATTAAAGATGGATTTACCAGGTACCATCCCATAGCAGCTTCTAACTGATTTGGAAAATAAATACTCCAAAATGCATTTCCATTCTGGTTTCTAATGTGATTGTCAGTGTTTTCCCTTCCCTCAGATTGGCTTTTAGTCACAGAGGTGTTGTAAGTGCTAAATGGATTTGTTTAGTAGTCAGATAATGTCATAGTCACACCTTTCAAAAGCAATTTGTCATAAATAATTTTTCAGCAGTGGCTTTTATTAGGAGTTCTGCTTTGCCAAGCAATATAATTAGTAAGCTCGTCAAGGCATGGTGTAGGCACCATTAATATAATGCAGAATCCGACAATGATGTTTAGCCATTTTAACTGGGTAAAAATATGATTAGATCATTTCCCGTATTTCATATCTGATAGAAATGTGCTTATCTTAATGAGTACTGAAATGAAACAGAACTGAAGTCACGATGACTGTGTGTGTGTTTTGTTTTGCTCTTAATATTAACATGAATTCCATTGTCCCTCAGAATGATACCTCCTACGAGCAAAACTTTTCTTGTCAATAACCTGGCTGCTGGAACTACGTATGACTTGTGTGTCCTGGCAATATATGACGATGGCATTACTTCCCTCACTGCCACAAGAGTCGTGGGTTGCATCCAGTTTACTACAGAGCAGGATTATGTGCGATGCCATTTCATGCAGTCCCAGTTTTTGGGAGGCACCATGATTATTATTATTGGTGGAATCATCGTAGCATCTGTACTGGTTTTCATCATCATTCTAATGATCCGGTATAAGGTTTGTAACAATAATGGGCAACACAAGGTGACCAAGGTCAGCAACGTCTACTCTCAAACTAACGGGGCTCAGATACAAGGCTGCAGCGTGGCGCTGCCCCAGTCCATGTCCAAACAAGCCGTGGGACACGAAGAGAATGCCCAGTGTTGTAAAGTTGCCCAAGACAATGTGATACAATCTTCGGAAACTTGTCCAAGTCAGGACTCCTCTACCACTACCTCCGCTTTGCCTCCTACCTGGACTTCAAGCACTTCTGTGTCCCAGAAGCAGAAAAGAAAGACTGGCATGAAGCCAAGTACCGAACCACAGAGTGAAGGTGTCATAAATGTTGAGTCCCAAAACACTAACAGGAACAACTCCACTGCCTTGCAGTTAGCTAGTCGACCTCCTGATTCTGGCACAGAGGGTCCCACATCTAAAAGAGCACATTCAAAGCCAAGTAAGTTTCTCACTTTGCCTGCCGAGAGATCCCGAGCAAGGCACAGGTACTCCCTGAACGGAGAATTAAAGGAATACTATTGTTATATTAACTCACCGAACACATGTGGACTGTTTTCTAAAAGGAGCATGTCTATGAATGCGATGTTAATTCAGCCCCACAGTTCTGATGGGTGTAGTGGAAAAGCAACTCTTTCAAATTCCGAGTGGATGTTGGAAAGCACTGTGTAACCTATGATTACTTTTTAATGAAAAAATTATTTTGAGAACTCACATAGGAAATTGGAATTTGAAATCCCAGTCTTGTCTCTCTGATGTATGGCTCTAGAGCCACGGTGTATAAAACCTCTAGGGTACAGTTACTTCATATATGTACATGCATATATGAAGGTGATATACCTATGTATGTATATATCAAATGGTTTAGGGAAAAAAGCATGACAGCAGTGCCTTCCCTTATTCTGAGACCGGCTTCCAGGTTCTGCAGTAGCAGATCACAAAGTGAAAGTTATCATGAAAAAAAAAAAAAGGCTTGCATAAATAATGATATCTCCTCCAGTCTTTCAAAATACCACCTATGGATGATTGGTATTTTTCAATGAATAGATTGTATATTTTCTTTCAATATCAGCGGCATTTGTTTTTAGGCAGATATTTTAGAGAATAGCTCTGTGTCATTATGTTATTTAAAATTAAATATTCAAATACGTCTACCTAGGCAGGGTTAAAATATGCCCCCTTCTAAACAACAGTCTTGGTTCAGGTGCCTTATGGTTCTATGATGTTTCTCATCCATGGCACAGATTTGTCAGTGGGAAGCAGAAGAAAATGCAATTGATTTTTTATTTATCAAGAAAAGCCAATTCAGCTTTAAGTCACAGGCCAGTTTTAAGTCACATGTGTCTGCCTGGGCATATGAAGATGTTTTCATTCATTCAACACATGTTTGCTGAATGAATGAGCTTTATATTTTTCTTAATGCAAGTTAAATAGAGAGACAAAAATACAAAACTGCCTTTATCAAAGGGGTATTTATTTTTATCACCAAGTAAAATAAAAATCTTCTAATGGCATTCTTATTACATTTATAAGCAATATAAAGTCATTGCTCATTAACCAGATAGTTTCGTTTTTCCCTCCTGTGCTGTAATTCTGAATCTGAATGCTTCTCTCTTAGAGTAAATATATTTATTATTTGAACCAAATCTTGTGATGAAATTTAATTAGAAATTATACAACTTAGTGGGAATACATCATTTTAAAAAGGATTTTTAATTTAATCTGACAATAATATTTCTCCCTGATAGTATGGCATTCTTGGACAGTCACTGAAATCAAGATCTGTAGACAAATGTTCTCTCTACTCCTTGAAATTTTTAAAATATTATATGCTAAATTGATGGTGTTTTATTAAAGATCAGTAAATGGGGGTTTGGGTATTTTTTTTTTCGAGAGTAGGGCTCATGTGGGAACCTTGCACAAAAAATATTAGCCATAATATAGTAAGATGTGTACTTTGTGTAAAGTACTCCCTGGGAGTAAGTTAAACCCACAGTAAAAGTTCATTAACTCTTTCAGATTACTTGAGATACCATTTAAAATACAGGTGAGGAGTGTCAGTCATTAGTTTAATTTCCTCTTGCTGGATGCATTTGTAACATTTTCAGTCAATTTTAACTCAACAGAGGCACATCTTATGCATGATGTATTGTGATTAGACACTCAAAAGTAGCTTAGATTAAAGCCCAGTTAGAGATTACTTTCTGAGCCAGTCTTGAAAAAACCTGTCTAATGGGCTTTCAACACCTTGGGTGTTTCCTACATGCCTTCTCTGCCCCGCTTCTCTTCCTGAAGTTTGCCTTTCACGTCTCTAAAATCTAATCAGCCTTTGTGGGTCAGGTATATAGTTCTTGTGAAGAATAAATGAGGTCACGTGTGTAGTGGTATTTTGTAAAACCAAAACATTACTCAAAGTGAAGTGTATTCTCAACACTCATTCTGTAATAATGGTCTAACCCCCAACTAAATATTTTTAATTAACACTAATTAATTAATTCTTCATCAAGTGCTGATTGACAAAAGCATATTACTTGTCCCCTTCTTAGGTTTTTACCTGCATAGCATTGAACAATCCTGAATACATAAAAGTTTTCAAGAATTAAAGACATGACTCCCCAAACAAAGAGTCTCTGGCATTATGAAGGCTGTGGTCAGGGGGGCCCCAGAATCACACAGAACAGGCAGCAGCTTGGTGTGTCACCTCCAAGCTACTGATTAACTTATTTTCTGTTTTCCAATTGCCTATATTTTTTAAGGTCAATTTCCTGCTTGTGTTTCTAATGAAAGTTCAGCTAAATATCTTTTATTTCTCATAAACATTTAGAACTCTGTAATACCTAATCTTCTGAAATTTATTCTGTTTAGCTAAAGCCATTGAAACCGTTTAAACGATTGTTATTACATTTACAAGATTATTTTTAGGGTGAATTAATCAAATGCTTGAACTCTTGTTCTGGAAGTGATATGAAGGCCTGTGTTCCTATCTTGCAAGAAGTTTATGTTTGAACAAAAGATTTGAACAAAAGATTGGCCTATCAAGAGTGTCAAATGTTATTTGGTTTTGTTTATAAGTATATGAACTATGTTTTTCTCAGGGCAGTTTGAGTGTGAAGTGACTGAAAGATAAGTCTATGGGAAGGTTGGGGCTGATTAAAGGCACTTGGTGTAATACCCAAAACGCGGTAGTTACTCAGATGAATGAATGTGCAAGTGAATAGATGACTAACTCCTTGAATGGAGCAAGGGAAGAAGGTGCAATAATAAGAATTTTGATTAATTAAGACAATAGAGATTTGTGATCCAAGTATTATATTACTATAAGCAAGGAATTCTGTCCCTCCTTTTGCTTTTCTTTCTGCCGTTTCTTACATTCCTTATTTAACCAGCTACATACGTGTGGTCCAAAGCATATGGTTTTGCTGTTTGTTGCTGCTGACAGTGTATAGGTTGTAGATGTTGTTTTGGCTTCCCTGTTCTTAATTATTTTTCTTTAATTTTTAGCCATTTTACACCATGGTGTCAGCTTGTTCAGTATGAAAACTAACGAATAATGTATGTACAGATTTTTACTCCAAGCATTTTTAAAATTATATGTGTTCCTGTGTTAGTTTTTTTTTTTTCATTTCTTTTGGATAATTGTCCCCCAATTTGAACATGTCAAACTACTATTAAAGTAAGTCTTTAAAAAATGTGTAATATATGAGTCCCATGAAGGGATAATGAAGCATCTAAAGCAGCCTCAAAAATCCTAACAGTTTGATTTGATGAATATTATTCATTTTAGTCTACAAGTAGATTAGCAAAAAGTACATTAAATGCAGTAGTTTAAATTAGATACAGTAACACCTTCACTGAAGACAACATATTTTCTATATTTTTTACAACCATTAAATGTAGTAGTTAAGTTGAGTTCACAGTAAGCTGTTTAATGCTTTTAGACAGTTGCTTTTTGCTGCTTTGCAGATATAATTCACTAAAAACTTTTAGAATGTAAGTTTTTGAGCTATTGCAAGCCATCTTTAGACATAACAAGTTTACTATCTGAATGTTACATACTTTCTCTACGAGAATCTAAGAAATGCTTAAAAATTAAATGTCTTCCATTTGTCTATAGGAATCTCTTTTCATCTTTTTTTGTTAAGTATTTCTTCCTTCACTTTAAAGCACTGAAAAAAGTACTTACATCCAAACTAAATTTTAACTGTTTTATTTGCTTGTATTACTAAAAGGAAACTAAATATTTAATTTATAAAACAAAAAAAAGTTACTGAAGCATTTATCACAAAATTCACATCAGTAGCCTTTTGATTCCTAAGTTTTAATATTATCCACTCTGTTTATTCACAGTAATAAACTTAAAAACAATCATTAAAATGCCAAGAGTTTAAAGAATTCCAAAAACAAAAAGCATCTTTTTGTACATTGAGTCGTGATGGTCAATGGGACATCTGTTCAAAGAAAATTGAGATACGAGCCCATTCTCTTTTCAGTGTGGCAGAAGTCCAGTTCCATTTTATAATTCTCAGCACACAATGGTCATTTATACTAGAGAGAGTGAAGACTGTGTACTCTTTTTCCCTTTGCTCAGCCTTCCCTTGAGTCTCAGGTAGAGTCCAGTCTTTCTGCTTCAGCAGTGTCTATGTGTGAGTTTGTGTGTGAGAGAGTTTTGGAGAAAGGACTTCAGCACAAAGATAGATTGGATGGAAAAGAAATTTTTTTCTTAACCTCCTCAGTTGGTAATAAAACACTAATAATAATAATAATAATAATAATAATAATAATAATAATAATAATAATAAAATAATGATAATTTACCTTATAATGTTTGTGAGTTACATGTTAGTTGAGTTAAGTTTGTGGGTAAAAAGTAAATCACTGTTAAAATTTCATAGAGAAGAGAGAAAATAACCAAAATTAATGACTGGGCTTTGCTATCAGTTTCAGAGCTCTGTGTCTCAGACTACTCAGTCCTTTTCCTTCCTGTGCCAGAAAAATGCATGCTGGGATTACAAATGCAGCTAGTTTTGTCAGATTTCAGGGTATTTGTCTGGTTTTTTTGTGTTTTTGGGGTGGGTTTTTGGTAACAAACAATCTTACAGCGGCAAGATCACTTAATATGGGAAGAATGGTAAACATATTACCTGGATTGAGTCCTGCCAAATATGCAGCATTTATCTAAAGTGAGACATAGAAATTAACAGTTTGTGACTGGGGGTATACTGAAGTATGAGATTACCTCTTGAAGGTAATGCTAAAGCATTTGCAATTTCATCAAATAGTACAAATACTCATTATAATAAAATAATCAGTGTGCCATTGTCTTCTGATTTGGTCAGCTATTTCAAAGTCAAAATTTAGGATCTAAAGTGACCATCGAATAAAATACATACACTATATAACATATACTTTTATATCTGTATATGTAATATGTGGCTATATTAACATGTATACTTATAAATTAATCATTGCAAATCACAATTTGGAGGCCTGCAACGTGGGCTGGAAGTAATGTAATAAAACTAGGTTTCAGTGGGCTGCCTGTTAGAGGACTGCTCCCAGAACAGCTGCACAAACTGTGCTTATTATCAGATTACAATGGAATGTAAACTCTAGTACAGATTTATTTTTCCAAACTTCCTCATGATAACCATCTCCACAACTTGTCTAATTTAATTTATTCTTTTCAAATAGGTGAATGTATGTTCATGAATTTTAAAAACAGCAGAAAAATTATTTTTGAATACATTCAGGGGAAAGCCATGAAGTTCATTTCATTTTATGTTCAGAAGTGGATGTGTATTTAATCTTGCCTGAGACATGAGCTAGACACTAAGTGTGACTTTGCTCCAAAATATTTCCAATAAATAATTATTCTACTACTTTTAGGGACTTATGAAACATACTATATGGGCTCTACCATTATGTGATTTCCTAATTATTTTTTCCTGTATAATGCAAACATGTCGTACTGTTGCTTTCATGTAAAACCTAATCTCCAGAGGTCATTGTAAATTTGTATGAGTATCTGTGCTGGAGGTTTATCAAAAAAAGTATTTTGTACTGTTTTCATCATCCTCACCTGTGAACCCTTAGAGCGACATTTTCCTGAGACACTTAATTTTTTTCTCATAATTGTGTTACTTCTAGTGACCAGGAGTATTTGCTTAAAACTAGGACATTTGGGAAGGAAGCAGAATGTATACTACACAGGGCTATTTAATGATACTAAATGATATTAAATTTATAGCCAATTGGAATATGGACACTGAAAGACAGAATGTTTGCATTTAGAACATTACTATTTTATATAAGGATAAATGAGTACTTGGCAAAACATGCTATTATCTTGGGGGGTTACTAAATAATGGTTTATATTATAAATGATTATTTTATACTCTGCGTGGTGAATATGGTGAAACTACATTTCCTGCTTTGGATTTTTTTTTCTTGATGTATCTTTCCATATTTATCATGTGCAGCTCTGTAGTTGACATATTAACTTTGCCTAAGGAAAGTGAATAGAAGCCTGATTCTCTTACTGAACTCTTGCAGGGAAAGTGCATCCTACATTGATAGTTAGTCATTTTCATAACTAGAAAAGTATTTTTAAAAAATTCTATGTTTCGAGCGTTATGTGTCAAGAAGTAGCCACAGAGAGTATTATCAAAGTCAATTGCAGTTAACCCAATGACTGGTAAGTTTGGGGGAAAAGAAGTCTAGATAAAACTTTTTTAAGAAGGATCTTACCAAGATTTCAGTGAGAAGTATTTTAAGGTCTGTTTCATTTTTTAAAAAAATGAATTGTTCATGACGCTGAAAATTTTATTCCCAGATGCTTTGCCGACTAATGTTGACCAGATTGTCCAGGAAGCACAGGTGAGATTCCTGTTACCTGTCACATATTTCAGCACTTAAGTGGGTATATTCTTTTATAACTGAATTTTCCATTTGTGTTTTGCTGGCTCATGCAACATGTTGAAATTTTCCATTAAAACTGACTCGATGCTCCATGGTCAAAATTGAAGTTCAGTTTGGTTAGGTGAATTTTCAGTTCCTCAGTTCAGACATATTTCTGGTTACCTGAACATTTCTGATTCATACTGTATGAATAAAGAGAGTACTAGTGTGACTTGGGAGCCGCTCTTATAGTCACATGTGATGTATTGTTTATTTTTACAAACATTTCCCCATGTGAAGACAGTAACTTCATAGAGTATATTCATTCCTGTCCTTGGCCTCCACATCCTAACTGAAGCGAAGATGCTACATTACGCCTCACTGAAGTGGATGAACAGAAGTGTTTCACTGTTACCCAAAATGAATGAAGCCGCTGTAAAATGGAGCAAAAGACTACACATGAAATATTCATGGTATTCCTTTTGTCAGCAACCATTTACTCTTCTTGGTTTGCTTTTCTTTCTTTGTTTCCTTCTTTCTTTTTCTTTTTCTTTTTTTTTTTTTTGAAGTTTCAAATGAGTATTTGATTCCTGCATTTTAATTGGATCAGAGAGTGTGTTTCTAGAGCAGAATGGCACTTTAGCAATCTGTTCAAACAGCTGGATGCATCAGCCGTTTGCTTAAGATTTGGCACAGAAAAAAAAATGTTCTGCTTTTAAAAGTTCTAAAAAAAAAAAGCCATTGGTTTATTTGTTGGTAGTAAAAATAAGGGTCTCGATTTTTACCATTTCTGGTTTAAAAGATAACAATAACTTGGAGCATCATTTATGGTTTCCCCTAAAGAATTCCATTCCCACATCAGACACAATGTTTTTCAAGCATCATTTCCGTACTGAATTTAGGATCTCGTTCCTATGCTGCAAAAAACGAACAGATGGCTCACTGCAAACCATCCATAGCACAGAGTCTGGCCCATGCTTGGTGTTAATAGAACTGAACTGACCTGCATGAAGACACCTTGGTTCACCACCACCTTCTCTCTCTTCCTCTCTCTCCCTCCCTTTCCTCTTCCTTTCTTCCCTCTATCTCTTCTCTGTCTTTGATTTTAAAGAGTTCATTTCTCATGTAACTTTGGCTATCTCACTGTTCCAAAACTGGCTCGCCTTAGAAAGAGATTAGGAGGTTGAGGTTCATCTATCAGAATCACCGTCCAGAATGGTGCGAAATACTACATCAGGATTTAGAAGCAGGAGAGTCCATTTGGTCATTTTTCAATTACCCATTAAAGCAATTCCCGAATATTCCCATTTCATGGGGCATGTTACATATTATTGTGTTTATGTCTTTATGTTACCACCGTGTTAGAAGTCAAATTTAGAGAAAAGTAATCTCCTTGGGAGTCTGTGTACTACTTGAGGTGGCAAAAGGTTTGCCAACGTGATAAGTATGTAAAATTTCTAATAATGATTTTCTTTGTCCTAAAGTTATGAGCATTAATTAGAGAACTTTGGAAAATACAGTTTAAAATAGAAAAATAAATGTAAACCTGTCATAACCCACCACCCACACACAAATACTAATAATCTGGTCCAGGATCTTGCAGTGACTTGTCATTTCTCTGTGTAGTAAATTTGTGTGTATATATGTGTGCTTGTATTAGATTTACATAGTGAATGTGTGTATATGGGAATATGGCATCTATTTTTAAAATGTTATGCTGAGTCTTTCTTTAGTTCCTTTTTTGAAACAAATGACTATGTCATAATGTCATATTCACTTTCCTTCCATGCTTTGTCTAATTTTCTTTTCTTTCTATAAGCATTAGCAAGAAAAATCCACAGGCAAAGAAAAATTTGAGCAGAATTTAGTGACAATACATCATTTACTCATTAGCCAACTCCTTGCTACATTTCTGTTGTCAGATTTAAGTCACCACATGACCTCAGCATAACTATTCTTACCCAGTAAATGATGTCTGTGATAGCAGGCCTGTCATTGCTACAGCTGTCAGCACAACCGGACAGTAATGCCCCTTTGAAGAGACTGTGACCCGTGTGTTCTTTGTCTTCTCACGACCCTTCACGCTGTCAGCAGTACTTTTACCTTGTGAATGAAGTGAGGTACAGGGCTGGCAGAGATTCATGGGCTCACAGCTTCCTAATTTTTTGAGGGGTTGGATGGAGTGGTGAAGATTACAAAATTTTATTTTCAGTTTCTATTTCCCACAGGATGGTAACAGACATATCTTTTTCTACCCAGAGGCAAGTATATATTTTCCAAAAATGTGGACACTGCCCATTGCATTAAATTTAAATTAAAATGTTCCTTATGTATATAGATGACAATATAAGCAAGAAACACATTTTTAATATATAAAATATTTTTCCAAGGTGACAGTATTAAATCAATGATATCACAGTCCCTAATATAACGTCAAGTTCTAATAGAAAGGAGCAGAGAGGGCAGAAAGGTTTCATCTAGTCAGTAGTTTAGGTGATCTTCATACTGAGGTATCTGCTAAGATGATTTTTTTACTGAGAAGAATGAGTTAAATTTACTCCGTTTCCATTAGCCAGAATATGCTCTATGCCCGTTTTCCTTAAGACCCTTCCTATATATATATACAGAAACAGAGTGAGCTTAACATACTTAATGTAACACGTACAATCCTTCTGTAATAGTCATGAGAGTCCAATCACACTAAGATGAATTGAGAGGAAAGGTGAGAGGAATTGTTGCTGAAATCATTGATAATTACTCTTTAAGTAATAGATACTTACATTATAAATTAACCATATGTTTGAAAAACCTTATGTTTTTATGTTTAAAGTGAACTAGGTAAAACAATTGATCTGCCATATTTGGTAGTTAAAATAAGAACCGTTGACTAATTTGCATTTATACTGAAAATGCCTTAAGTAAAAGTTTTTTTTTTAAGTATTTGTTGTATTCGGACCAACAAAATATGTGTACATTGTGTGTGTGTGTAAGTATGCACAAGAAATACCACTTACACTGTGATTGCTTATACCAGTCTTCAAGATGATTGCTTTCTGGTTTTAATAGATTTGACTTATGATGTTCAGTATCAACTCTATGTTTAATATCAATCAAGGTATTTAAATAATTTTGACTATCAAAAAATCTCTGCTACAGATACAATAACCTAGTTCTTTTAGAGAAACTGTTAATATATAAACAAGTAAAAAGTTATTTTGCTTAGAGATAAAGAGCAATATTAAAACAACTATGGGAAAACACAGGGTTTGGAAAATATATGAACTAAGAGTTAAGCAGCAAAACAAATGTGTATATATAATCCAAATATCTTTCCAATTTTTTTTTCAAGCAAGAATAACTAATATAAAATATTTGGTTCTGTAGGGGGTTTTTCCCCATGATACTCCCTTCAAGTGAATTTAAAAAATAAGAGAGAAATAAGAGTAATAGAAAAGGCACATAGGTAGAAAACATTTAACTATTTTGATAATGATTAAAGCATACTTTTTGACGTACTTATTTGAACATTACAGAAAATTAGAAAAAAAAAATAGAACCCTAGTGTCAGCAGTGACATTTAGAAATCAATTCCTTCTTCTTTTGATATCCTAACTATACAAAATAAAAACTCTTTCACAGTTCTTAATTACACTCAGAGTAAGAGCAATAACAGTTTCCAAAATCCATGCAATGTCAGGATAATTTTCCTTCTCTTAATGTCAAGGTAGCTTTAATTTCCTCTTTCCTTTGTGGTATTGTTAAGACTGTGCAGTGTTTTGCATGCTGCTCTTTCACTGGTAAGTGAGCATCTTTGACAAAACATCAGGAACGTACCCCAAGTTGATTATTTTTAGTTCTTATAACATTTTAGCCTAATTATAGTCTGTTTTGTTTTTTCTTTATGATGCTCTTATAATTTTGTGTTCCATATTTAAATCTTTATGGAATCACTGTATGAGTTTGTTTATTGATAAGTAAAGTTGAAAAGTGTTATTTTGAATATCCTACGTGCAAAATTTTTATTCAAAGTCATATTATGTCATCGTTTCAATAGTGGTAGATTCAGGGCAGACAGATTCACACCATTGTTCCCAAAACATGTAATGTGAAATTGAGCCAAAAACTCTTTAAGCTGTGTCAGCTTGTAGAATCATTAACTTGATATTAAAAGAAAGTTTGTTATTCTGGAAGGAATTATTATTTCCAAAGTCAAACTAGTTATACTGTCCACTGTATTTTTCTTCTAGGCTTTTCTATATTACTACTTCCTGAAACTTGAAATTTGGTGTAATGCAAACTTTTGACTTTTTAATCAAAGGAACATATTATAGGAAATACAAAAAAAAAAGCGCTTATTGATAATTAATTTCACCAAAATAAACTATGCTATGAACCCAATGGAAAGAAATCTAGATACTTGCCATTCTAATTTAAAGTGATTTTGTAATGTTTTCCTTAGAATGAATATTCCAGGTAAAGTGTATAGCGATACCTATATTTCAGTATTTTCCAAGATAATTATTTTTTAACAATAGGATACATATCTATTAACGATTAACAGTCTTTGAACATCAAGTAAATTCTTATTCAATAATTTTTAAAATTATTGTTTGTGCCAAAAATAACTTTACTTATTCAGATCAAGTATTTTGAAATACTTTCTTAAGTAAAATATCTCTATAGTATTTTGCCTACCTTCATCACAGTTATCCAAATATACCCTACATCAGCATTTTGAAGTAGAATATTTGAAGTTAATGAAGAATCTATATTTCATCATTCACTTGTTCCATGCATTTTATAACCCTCATCTTGTAAACATGTAGTTGTTCTTAAATGGAAAGGAGAAAAAATACTTCTGTTTCGTATGTATGAAATTGTATGTTTCTCAGTTATTTTCCATCTTCATCAAGTATAGAATTTATAGA